CTCAGCCTCCCAAGTAGCTGGGACCACAGGCGCCCGCCACAACGCCCGGCTATTTTTTGGTTGCAGCCGTCATTGTTGTTTGGCGGGTCCGGGCTGGGGACTCGAACCCGCCACCTTAGGTGTACGTGGCTGGCGCCTTAGCCGGTTGAGCTATAGGCGCCGAGCCCATAGAATCAGATTTGATGGATTATACACATTTAATATTGTCAAACTAAGGCCAGGTGCAATGGCTCACGCTTGTAATCCTAGCACTCTGGGAGGCTGAGGCAGGTGGATTGGAGTTCACAGTTTTAAGACCAGCCTGAGCCAGAATGAGACCTTATCTCTAAAAATAGCCAGGTACTGTGGTGGGTGCCTGTAGTCCCAGCTACTTAGGAGGCTCAGGCAAGAGAATCACTTGGGTCCAAGAGTTTGAGGTTGCTGTGAGCTATGACATGATGGCACTCTGCCAAGGGTCACAAAGTGAGACTCTGTCTCCAAAAAAAATCAAAAAAATAAAATTATCAAACTAGGTGGGGTGTGGTGGCTCATGCTTATAATCCTAGCACTCTAGGAGGCCAAGGTAGATGGATTGCTTGAGCTCAGGAGTTCAATACCAGCCTGAACAAGAGTTAAGACCCTAGGGCTGGGAGTGGTGGCTCATACCTGTAATTCCAGCAATCTGGGAGGCTGAGGTGGGTAGATTGCCTGAGCTCAGGAGTTTGAGACCAGCCTGAGCAAAGTGAGACCCCATCTCTACAAACAGAAAAACTAGCCAGGTGTAGTGGCAGGTGCCTATGGTCCCAGCTACTCTGGAGGCTGAGGTAAAAGGAGAGCTTGAGCCCAGGAGTTGGAGGCTGCTGTGAGTGATGACGCCATGGCACTCTACCCAGGGCAACAAAATGAGACTGTATCCAAAAAAAGTAATTAATTACAAATAAATAAATAATAAAACAATTAAAAATTAAAATTGTCAATTGCTTATCTCACTGGCATCTTAATTGTATTTTTGGCTGTGTTCCCATGTATATTATTTATTGGCCAATTGCACTTTTCCTTTATTCAGGAGTTGGACTCCGGAAGAGAAGCAGTACTTGGAGCTTATGATAGAGGGAAAACCTTAAGAAGGACCTTGGGGTGAGGGGACTGTTTCTCCCTGGGTTCCATTCCCGTCACCATGTGATTGCATGACAGGAAAGGGAGAGCCACTCCCCTGCTCCCTTTCTGGCTCCACAACCACTCACTATGAAATTCCCTTCCGTCTACAGCTCACTGTAGAACCTGATAACTGATGACCTCTGAAGACATGCTGATGTGTTCAGAGTATGCCTGAACTTTTCTAAAGGGGTATGGATGACACAAAAAGGAAAAGGCCCACATGTCCAGTCTAAGATATGGTTAGAATGACATCCCTCAGGAACAAGGACTAAACGGCCCTCCTATTTGTCTTCCAGGAAGGGCATGAACATGTGTAAGGGTGAGAGGGGAGCCACATGCATCACAGGCTCAAATTTGGTCAGAAAATTAAGGTAATAAAGTGGCATTTGGCAACGTCTTCCCCATACTGATCTTCTCCATAGATTCTCTTCTCATCCCCTCTTTTTATCCTGACCTTTTAGAATATCTGTGAGATTGCAGGGGGAGGGCCTCTGTCCTGGAAACTGAGATAAAATGAGAGCACCAGCCCCCCACATGGCCTCCATGGACCAGTTTCCTCCAGGCCACAACTGAGCCCAGCTGTGTAGGTGACCCAGGGAAACCCTGCCCAAATACCACACCTGGTCTCACTCTCCGAGGCCAGGACTGTCCAGTCACACTTTCAGCCATCCCTGTCTGATTCGTGTCTTTGTCCCAGTGACTGGCACACTGGCACACATCAGTGGACAAGAAACTGTCACCACCTTACCCTGTTTGAAATACAGCTGTGGATTAAACAGATAAAATCACCTTAACTTAGCTGTGCACATGTATTCCCCCAATTTACCTAGAACATATCCAGATAAGAAAAATCCTTAACAGAAGGATTGCAATTTGCCAGGGGTCAAATTATCCCATGAAACTTAAGAAAGGATAAAGCAATTGTTTTTAGTGAGAATAACAAAAGACTATGTCAATGAACAGTGTTAGAAGCCATGGGCCGAAATTCTAATTTACTTTCAGTATTGTGATAAACTAGTATATGTTTTCTGTATTAATCAAGACATTAAAGGTAAAGGGTGTCCCTCCACCCCCACCCAATCTCCTAGCACGCCAAGGGTGAGAGGTTTCCCAGGCTTCTTGGGAAGCAGTCTGCGGAGACCTGGCACCCTCCTGCGAATGCCCTGCTTTGTCCGAGCTCCAGGAGACTGCCTGGATGCCAGTCAGG